TGCTATCCATTTTTAATTCCTTTAAGACCGCTCGGCCATATGGAAGACAAACGGGCCACATTTCACGTTGATCAAACATGTATGTGTTTTATTTGTTCAAACACGAAGGGCCATGTAGATTTCCTAACATTGAGAATGGATAAAAAATGCATTAGTCACTAAAAACAAGTGGGCATGCAGCGCACAGGTGTCATCGACAATTACAAAATACGCACAATTGCATATTATCCACTATCCGGTCACCAAGTATGACCAACCACAGCTCTGTTACAGTAACAGTCACCAAATAAAACTTCACTCAAGAGTAAATCAGCTGGGCATCTCTGATACAGCGCATGCTCCCATCAAACCGATTCTGTGGATGCTGTGTGCCCCAGTTCATCCGTTTTGCAGAAGTCATTGAACATGGCTGTGGACTGGTTGGATGCTGCATGTTACCCATCTGTTCATGACTGGCGAAACTGGGTGACTGTTTGTAGTTCAGTAGAATATTTTCAGTTCGTTTTAGAATTCAAGGATACACGTACGCACAACGCGCGTAGCCGGTCGTCGTTACCAAACCGAATTCTAGACTCTGTGTGGATAAATTGAATTCTGTTCAGCTCAGCCATTTAAATTTATTGCCAGTGAAAGTCGGTTCGTTCGCATGCTATGGATTTAATGTCGATGGCGTTGGTGTTGTTGCCGACCAAACAACCAGCCAACAGCTCTCCTTGTGTTGTAGTAACATACTTGTGTCAAGTTTGTCGTGAATGAAAACAAAAAGGAAACATTAAAACGTAACGCTCATCTTAATTTGAAATAGAAATTCAAGGATAACATCGAGTGGATCATTATCTGGTCTAGTTTATGGTAATTCATACTTAAATTGAGTGTGTCTTTTAAAAAATCTATGGAGATGCTGCCATTAAAAAGTCTCTTCAAGTGAAGGCAAATACCACTGTCTCTTCGCTCATTAATATCCTTAATTGAGATATCCTTTTTTTTTTGTTGGTGCCAGCGCATTCCAGATGCCAGAGGCTAAAGTGTCAAATGAAAACAAATAGTGCAAAATGTAAAGGCAAATACAAAAAAAAAAAACAAATGCAATTGTTGTTGTTTTTGTTGTTGTTGTCACACAAAAAGAAAATAAAATAAGATTTAACAATGTGTTCTCCAATGAAAAAAATGAGGTTGAAATTTATGTGGCAAAATGGTGTCAATAGTCAAGTTGAGCAAACAAATAAAACGAAAGTGAAAACATGCAGCAGCAGCAGCAGCAGAAGAATAATAACACAAATGGAGAATGGATGCAGTGCCACACCATCGAAATGAATGAATGCACAAAATGGGGAAAAGTGTGTCAAATGAAAAAGGAAAAATATAAGAAAAAAGAAAAACACACACACACACACCAAAAAATATATAGAAACCCCATTTGAATGGAATTGAAATATGTGGCGAAATGTGAAAGTGAATTGATTTGTGTGTAACTTCGGTGATATGTCGCAGTTTGTAAAAATAATAAAAAAACGGCAAAAAAAAAAAAGGCAAATGGAATTACACGTTGGTACAATGGAATAACCACAAAAGGGATTGAGTTTAAGGGAAACAGAAAATAATTTTTGAATTTTTTTTTAATAAGTGCAAAATGATCTTTAAGATAATAATGGCGATGGTATTTAATGTCACCATAAGGATTATGCATTAATCGGAAAAAAAGAAATTTGAATATAAACAATTTGTGCTTTTTTTAATAAAATTCAGGGTTATACAAATCCAATGGGACTATCAAGAGTATCAGATATCTGCTGAACATATATATGATCAATTGTTATCTTTGAATTTTGGTGGCCGGAGTTGTGTACCTTTTATCCATAGGGCTGAAAATGAACTTTGATAAAAAATTATATCTTTTATGCGTACAGAGGGTGTATCATTTAATATTGCCAAAAAGTGCCTCATAGAAATAACGGGCTTAGGTATTAAGTCTTTTCGAACAAATTTCATATCAGGACATTTGGAGTCGATCTTGCGAAGTCCGTCAGTCTGTCTCAGAACAAGAGAATAATTTGCCTCATAGAAAGAGATAGGATCGAACGATTTTTATAACCTCCACCATACTATTGAGGGTATATAAACTATGTCATTCCGTTTGCCAGTAGGCAGGTTAAGTTCATAAATGGGCCATGTAGGTCCACGTTTTCATATAGCCCCCATAAAACGGTATCTCCCGATATTCGTTATTTTGATGATTTCAGCGACACTATTTACCGGAATTATTTCAAAGTTTGTATTTGAAGTTCGTAAAGGATGCTACAGCCTAAATCAGAAAATTGTCTGTACATGTCAACGTCTTCGTATAGCCCCCATATAACCGTACCTCCCGATATTCGGTATTATGATGATTTAAGTGAAACTATTGGCCGGAATTGTTTAAAATTTGGCATATGAAGTTCGTAATATTTACTACATTCTACGATAGAAAATTGTCTGTGCAGGTCCACGTTTTGGTATAGCCTCCATATAATGGTACCACCTATATTCGGTAGTTTGATGATTTTTGCTACATTATTCACCGATTTGAATACCCTCTACCTTGGTAAGGAGACTATATTAACTTTGTCATTTTGTTTGTAACAACCCTAAATATTTATAGTATAAAGTATATATTCATAATCAGTACAAAATTCTAAGTCGAGTTAACGATGTCCGTCTGTTTCTCTGTCTATCCGTCTGTTGAAATCACGATACAGCCCACGTTATTTGACGTAGACCTTCAAAATTTGGCAGAAAAAATTGTATTGTATCTAGGATGGTTGGTATTGAAAATGAGATATATCGGTCCACGTTTTCGTATAGCCCACATATAACAGTAAATCGCGATATTCGGTATTTTGATTATTTTTGTATGGTATAATGGGTTCTAGCTCGTGTGGCGAAACATTGAAGGTATAGGTCCACGTTTTGGTATAGACCCCATTTTTGCCACTTTTTTCACGGATTTGTCTAAAAATTGGTCTTTGTAGGTCGTGCTGGGTTCTAGCTTGGTATAGCCCCCATACAACGGTAGCTCCCGATATTCGGTATTTTAATTATTTTTGTCACATATTTTTTCGCGGATTTGTCTACAAATTGGAATTTTTTGGTCATGATATATTCTTGCTCTTGTGACGAAACATTGTATGTATAGATCCACGTTTTGGTATAACCCCCATATAACGGTACCTCTCGATATTCGATACTTTGATAAAAATTGGCATTTGTAGACCCCATACAACAGTACCTACCGATGTATGGTATTTTGATGATTTTTGCCACACGGATTTGTCTGAAACATGGTCTTTGTAGGTCATAATGGGTTCTAGCCCGGTGTTAGAACATTGAATATTTAGTTTTACGTTTTTCTAAAGCGCACATATAACTATACCCACCGATATTCGGTATTTTGATATTCCTAGTCACAAATACGCACATAATTGTTTTCAAATTTGGTATTTGATAGATGACAATCCTTGAAATATACAATTTTCTATAGAGGTTCCCGTTTTGGTATGGCCCCATATAACGGCTTCGCTCACTTCATGGGTTTTTGATAAACTTAATTGCATTATGCCAATGTTCTTACTAGTATATTAAGTTTAAGGTGAAACAAGTTTGAATTCAGATATAAAAAAAAATATCTAGGTATTAAAAATTCAGCCCTGCCGAACTTTATGTTTTTTACTGGTTTTTTTTAAGTTTCGCAATATTATAATGGCTTTGTTTTTAAAATTTTAACAGAATTTTTAGCGGATTTTTTTTAAATTGCAAAACTCGTTCCAAATTGTGGAGGTTATTCAAAGTTCTTCCATCCGAACTTACAACTATTTTACTCGTTTCATTTTATTTTAATATGTAAAAGAAAATTCCCTTAGTCCATTTGAAGAATCTTTATAAAATCACATTTTGAGTACAATTTATGCATGTCCATTCCAATGCGTAGGGGTCAATTTATAGGAATTTTAGTGCATACGACGGCGATATGTAATTCCCCCAAAGCCGTAGAATTCACTTCATAATAAAGTGTTCAGCAGAAAATAGTTGATACTGCCGAGAAATACACTTGACAAATTTCAAAAATTCACGAAATCGGTGCAGATTTCGCTATAGCTCCAATATATCATCGTCTGTTTTTAAAGCATTTTGTTCACAAACAGTATAATATCAGCCCAAATAAGATGCATCTTGGTAGACGCATCGGTAAATTTAGCTAGGAAAACAGTATTCTACTTTAGGTAGAAATCGGCCAATTCTGGTCTCCGAAACGCGAAATAACACGACCGGGGAAATGATTGATGCAACAATTGACACATGGCGCTGTCATTCATTTCATCAATTCTAAGAAGAAAATGGTTATCATTTCACGATACCGAGCACCATTGGCCGTTTGCTCTTGATCTGCCTCATTTTAATGACACATTGAGGATGAATTTGCATCTCGTAAATTACTCGAACATTCGCACCCTCACCCCAAATATGACAATTCTGCCAATTGACGAAGCCATCAAAATGGAAATGGGCCTCGTCACTGAAAATGATTTTATCGACAAAAACAACATTTCATGTTGTTTTCTCCAATGTTTCTTCCGATTTTACAATTCATTTAGCAATGCTATTTGGTATGAGAAGCTTCGTGAAATATACATTTACTTCAGCCGAGTTTAATAGGAATCGACTAAGATATAGCCTTTATTAAAATCACCCTAAACGGTAGCACTAAATTAACGACCTCATGATGTCGAGATTGCCAAACATTACCATAACACCATAAAATATATGTTGGGAGCCCAGAGCGATTGTTATAATCGATAACACTATGTAAATCTGTCGATCCACCTGTACCTCTAGATCATGATAGAGGGGGTAAATATGTCTATCACATGATTCATTAAAGATGAATAATGTTTGATACTTAAAAACTTAGCATCTTGAGATCACGACAGAAGGTAGAATATTTAAGTTAGATATTTATTACTTACGATGATTAATATTAAAGGAGGTATATCAGTCCCCGTTCAGGTTTATCCCTCATATAGCACTCGCTTCTCCCCTCTGACACTCAAAATTTTGCATGTTTTTGCTACTTATTCAACGGTATATCCAGAAATTCCTCACGCGACCAGTTCGAATTTTGATGCATTGTTTTTCATTTTCCAATCAAATTAGTATTTTAGCGTTTCAGCTTCTCAGAGGATATAAATCCACTATTTGATGTGATATTGATCAAATTCCGTAAATCTTGAGGGCCGGCACTTCCCCGATTCTCAATTACCCAATATGCGACCAAATGAGCTGAAATTTATAAATTTTTATTCTTATTGTATGAAATTTTGCATAAAAATTAAGAAGGCCTACGTTTTGATATTAGCTCCACAAAGATGTGTTGGTCGATTTAGGTTCGAAGCCGCAGCTACCATTTTATTGTGCACCAATTAGATTTTCTTCGCTTTCAAAACCAAAACAAAAAATATTACAAAATTTTAAATTTTTAACAGAAAGTCAAATTGGAAAAATCTCGTATGACAAAAAATATGACAAATGTAATGTAAAAAAATTTAATTATTCACATTTTTATTGACATATTTTTATGGGATATTTTTAGAGTTTATCCTTTTCTGCCAAGAGACCCTTCCGAATTGGTGTGAATTGCTTAAATCCTTCCAGCCGTTTTATATACACCGATTTTTGGGAAAAGTGATTGCGATATAGTTTTATACAAAAGATATAGTTTTATACTTAATATTTACGGTATAAAATTAACATCAATTTTATGTTTGTAAAAAATTCTTTTTTGTTTTCGAAAAATTTAATACTTTTTTGGTAAATCAAAATTCCCAAAGAAAATATTTTTCAGTCCTTCAAATAGAGTCCTTGAGCAGTCAAAGGTGATCGTTACCGGGCCATGTTGAACGAGTTTACAAAAGATTAAGAGTAGGACATTAACAACATTTGGTTTCAACAGGACGACACAACACGTCACACAATCAAAAAACAAAACAAAAAATACGTACAAAGAGAACCCAATATTTGGGATATATTTCGTTACATTTAATATGAAGCATTAAGAATTAATAGAGTGTTTTGCAGTTTTTTGTTCGATCCCAACGCCACTCTTACCCGCTCCTGCTGACCGAGGGGGCACTTCCCCAAAAAGTAGGGAGCGCGTACACTCCATAGTTCGTACCATGGAAGGTATGTATTGAAGGGATATACAAGCTACAGTAAAATAGCAGCTGGTAATAGGAATAAAGGATTTGAAATACCAGCACACAAATATAAGGCAAATCTAGCAGCTCCTTTTATTACTTCAATAATTATTGGTTTAAAAATTTGGTCAATTGTGCCGATACACTTTTTGGTAAAGTCCTTACATAAAGGTAAACCCTGCTTTTAAGATCTATAGTGAAATGTTGTGTAGAATATTTCTTCTTTGTCAGCTTCAGACATCAGCTCAAAAAAAGGCCGCGGAAAAATATTATATAAAAATTTTGGAAATATATTTTTTGTTGGAAATATTTTTATACCCTCCACCATAGTATGGAGGGTATATTAAATTTATTATTATTGTTATTATGTTATGTTATTACGTTAGTAACACCTCGAAATATACATTATAGACCCCACAAAGTATATATATATTCTTAATCAGCATAAAATTCTATGTCGATTTAGCGATGTCCGTCCGTCTGTGGAAATCATTCTAGTTTCCGAACGAAGTAGCTTAATAAAATTTTACTCAAATGTAAATTATGTCTGCAGGACTTTTGGTATTGGAAATGGGTTATGTAGGTCCACGTTTTGGTATAGCCTCCATGTTATGGTAAATCCCTTTTTTCGGTAATTTGTGATTTATGCGACATTTATCACCGGATATGTTTCAAATTTGGTATTTGAAGTTCAAAATGGATACTACAGTCTAAGACAGAAAAATGTCTGTGCTGGTCCACGTCTTCGTGTAGCCCCCATATGACGGTACCTCCCGATATTCGGTACTTTGACGACTTTAGGTACAATATTCACCGAAATTGTTTGAAGTTACGTATTTGAAGTTCCAAATAGGTACTACACCCTAAGACAAAAAATTGCCTTTGCAAATCCAGGATTTCGTATAGACCCCATATAACGGTTGATGATTTTAGATAATTTATTCACAGGATTTTTTACAAGAAGAATTTTTAACGGTTATTATTTTTTTTTTTTGAAAGTTTCCAAAATCATTCTAAATGGTATTCAATTTAATTTTGTTGGCCTATTAGTTTTTGTAGAGAAAAATTTGATTTTTTTTAAATTTACTAATAAAAAAAAAATTATTATTATTATTTATTTTCTTTTTGAGAAAAATTTTTTTTCCGTATTCGCCGCATTTTTTATTACTTCTGGGAGTTAATAAATGCAAACTAGGCTGTGAAAACTCCAAATGAATTTGATAGCACTAGTCCTTATATAAAGACAATGCTGGATTTTTGTTATTTCCAGGGTCTTGGCCATATTTGCCAATCGATTAGGCCCTTGCGAAAGTTTTGAAGTGGTCATCGCAGCATACATCAATTAAAGTTCATATTTCGAGGTAACTCCTTACTTTAAGATCTGTAGTGAAATTTTGTTTAGAATGTTTATTCTTTCTTTTACACTTTTTGTCATAAACGATATTTTATGGAACTTTAAGGCATCAAATTGAAAAAAGGCCGTGGAAAAATTAGATCACAAAACGAATTAATACCCTCTGCCGATTTTCCATATATATCCCATAAACCGATGTATTCCACATTTGTATTAGATCTACAATTGATAGAAATTTTAAGAAGTATCTGACTAGTTTCGCATTTTATAAGGGTTAGACGTTTCTAAATGACACTTAGATGTAGACGTTTCTAAATGACACTTAGATCTACCATTCAGACCATATTCAGGAAGACACCACTAGATTGACTCCAAACGAATTTGGTCCTTTGAGACCTAGTGCCTAAAACCGTTATTTTGATAAGTCTTGTTGTGTCCGTATCAAATGGTATGGATGAGATAAAACAACTGCAACAAAGTCAAACATCAAAAAATTTTTTTTCAATTTACTGAACGAATAAGTTTAGATTTGTTCGAATTGGGCACCTTGGAAACGAATTAAGGTGATCGACACATTGGTATTTTTTGAGCCAAATTTGCTTTCCGAAATACTTCAGACACAATAGTCCAACGGATTGGTATCCGGAGATTTTGGTGGCCATTGTGCGCTGGAAATGAAGCGAGGAACTTAATTTTGTAACCATTCTTGGGTGGCGTGTGCTGAGTGCGATGGTGCTAAGTCCTGTTGGATTGTCCAAGGTCTGCGGCCAAAATGTTTGCATTTATTTTCGCGATAATATTCGGCATTTATTCTGATTTGTTCGAGCGGAAAGCGGCTGTTATGGCGGCCCACACCATCACCATGGCCGGCGCTTGAGTTCTACTGGCAAACCGAAGGTGCATATTTCCAGCTGACCTCTTTGGCAAGTATTTTGTTTTTTTACAAACTGCTGGACAATAAATGTTTTCTCATCGGAGAAAACCAAATTCGGCAGTTCACCACTTACGCCGAGCGAAGCAACTCTTTAGCTCTTTGAGTCTATTTTCTTTCTGTGCCTGTGTAAGTTCTTGCACTTTTTGGAATTTCAATGGCTTCACCCCGAGCTCATTTTTCAATATTTGCCGATTGGAATATTGCGTTATGTTCAGCTTACGAACCATTTTCTTTCTTATATTCAGGTCCACGTCTTCGTGTAGCCCATATATAACGGTACCTCGATTTTAGTGATATTATTTAGCGGAATTATTTCAAATTTTGTATTTGAAGTTCTTAATGTGTGCTACAGGCTATGACAAAAAAATTTGTATGCAGGCCCACGTCTTCGTATAGGCTCCCTATGATGGTACCTCCCAATACTCATTGATTTTAGTGGCATTATTCAGCGGAATTGTTTCAAATTTGGTATTTGAATTCGTAATGGGTACTACAGCCTATGACAAAGCGGAAGCAGGTCAATGGAGACTATACGACTCCATATAACAGTTTGCTGCTTTTTACTTGTTTTTTTTACCAACTGCACAAAATCTGAAACCATCTATACTAAATTTGTATTGTGTATTTGGTTTCATTGAAATAATCGTCCATGGTAATAATAATAATCTACCATGTAATCGTCTATTTTCATACAATTCTTTATTCGTAGTTTGTAAACAAAAAATTGAAGAAAATTTATTTAAAAAACAATGTCAAGAAACCCGCACAACATAAAGTAAAACGAAGTGACACTTTAAACAATCCCCCTATCGAGTTGATAGCGAAAGTATTTTGAAAAGAAAATCTCAAACGAAATAAAGAATAATACACAAAAGGATGCAATGACATGAAAATATTTAACCTTTTGAATAAATATGGACAAGCTATGGTCCTTTTGAATAAACAACCGGATATATCCAGCTGGCGCCCAAATGAAAACCATCTTCTGTCTATATCTGAATAATGCAAAGAGCATAAAGTAAAGAAATAAACAAGTCCACAACCAAAAAAATATAAGAAAAACTAACAGAAAAAATAAATAAATAAAACAACAACAAGAAGACCAACTGCAATGCTTTACGCTTTGGGGGCAAATGCGGACATTGTGTTTCATTGAATTCCTAAACCGAGTGTTTTAAAACGAAATTCAAACAAACAAACAGGCCAACAGACCAGCAAACAGTACTGCCGTCCAGCATCATCAACATCATCAGTGTCAGCGTCATCAGTCAAAGATCTACAGCCATCTCTTATGAATAGCAAATGGATTTGGGTACTGCACAAAGGTAGGTACGCCATGTCTCTGGAACAAATCCGCCGACAACATCAACAAACCCGTATTTGAATGTTGCACCATTATTTTTATGTGTATTTTTAGCTTGTTTCGTTTGCTTTTGTGTTCTACTCGGTGAATTTATTATCGCCTTTTATTTTATTAATATTGTACAAATTAAAGGATTTCAGTGTGTCCTTTGATGTGCCAGCTAGTTCTTTATTCTCTCTGTCACACGTTCGTTCACATTCCGCAAATGCGTAAGCAGGTTTTTCTGTTGGGTCATTCGCTGTCGCTATCGCTGTTGTTGCTGTAAAACCAAAGTCCTTTGATGTCAAAAAACATAATTTTGTACATAATTTTATTAATTTAGTTCGCATTTGCTCTACACTCAGTCCCTATCCGTAGTTTTTGTTTTTTTGGATTGTATTCACCAGAGATTAGAACGGTCGCTGAACTGTGAAATGGAATTATTTGACCCTTTCATTACCCAGGGGAATGGAGAATTGTGTGAATAAATCAAAGCGTAATTTTGGGAAAAAACGATGGGATTTCAAAGAATTTGGCTTATCTAAGCATAAAAAAGCGTTTGATTCCATTAAAAAATAATATCTCCAGTTTTATTTCAATTATATGGAATTAAAAAAGGACACATGTTACCAGCAGGTTATTCGCAATAATTAACT